TCCCCTTCCATTATTTTTTCTTCCATAGAGTTTTAGAAGTAATCAGCAAAATCCTAAAGATGCTCAGTGATTCCACTGTGGTGAAGCTAGTAATTATGTACTAGTGTAAGAATTGAATAACTTTGTCCTCAGATACCACATGCAGCTGGGCGCTCATAGAAGATTTGCTAGAAGAGTTAAATGGCAATATTTAATCATTTAAGGATGCTAATCATTTTCAGAATGATTAGAAATACTCAATTGGTTCAAATTTCTTCAGACAAAAGAAAAAAAAAAGTACTGACAATAAGGCACAATTTGGTCCAGCAATCTGTCAGTAGGCTCCCATTAATATGGAATTGTAATACTGCAAAAGGGCAATTCTTCGTACAGGTAAAGTGTCAAATTCATTTCTATTCATTCCTTTTTTTTTTTTTTTTTCTCCCCCCAATGAAAATGCTTAGCACATGAATGAGGCTTTTTTCCCTAAAAATGTAGGTTTAAAAAAAAAAAAAAGGATTTATAGACCTACAAAAGTGGAATGTAAAGTAAAATATTAATAGGATTTGTGGGTATGACAGATTGGGATTTCTATCGTTCATTTTCAAAGCCCTCGGAGTCATTTGGTACTTGACTAATTATTCTGTTAACACCATTTTGGGTATTGAACAATTTTTAATAGTCTTTTGGTGGCTCAAATTACATATTTGAACTGGTATGATATTTTCACTTTGACATGGAGATTCAGCTCTCCCTGTGTTATCTGATTGGTGGGAAGAGCCCGAGAAAGACAGAGGATATTGGTGTAGAAGGTCCTCTACTATCTTTGTTAGAAGTGCGTAAGGAAAATAGGTTTCAGGCTTTGAGGTTGAAACGAGGTTTTTGTACAATCAGATGAACTTAAAAGTCAATCTGTTAATCTCCAAAGTTTAAGCAGATACTGTACAGAGTGTTTTAACATGCTTAATAACAAAAATTGCTCCAGTTAGCCCTTCTTAAGGTCATTTTCTTTTGACATCTGTCAAATTACACAATCTTGTATTTTGGAACAAAGCGTAATACTGTCAAACTTAAATAGAAATACACCAGAATGTGGAGTGGTGTGTTGTTTTTTAAGGTAAATGGGCCCCATTTACATTAGTCCTTTGATGTTAAATTCTTTGCTGCACATCAGAGAACAGTTGCCTCTTCCCCGGAGCAAGTTTTCTTTCTTCTCCTTCCCCCACCCTTTGATATTTTCTTCTCTTTTTTTTTTTTCTTTTTTCTTTTTTAGTTTGCTTACACTTTTATCTAACTAATTATGGAGGATCAGCTTATGTATGGCCATCATTTAGCTAGTTGCAGGCATTTTGAAAAATGATTATTTCATGCTAGTGCCCTAAACAGATTTCTTAAATCTTCCTCTCCGTTAGGGTGCGGGGGGGTGCACGTGCCTCTGTAGTGACTGAGAGTTGTGCTCGTGAGTCATCTGTATTGGTGAGATTGCAATCAAAGTAAAATGCCACTGAAATCAGTCACCGAGCTGATTCATATAGAGAGGAACAGGGATTTCACCATGCATCCTTAAATATCACAGAGCTATCTATATTTGGGTTGAAGGTTAGTTTTCATATCAATTTGTAGCGTAATTAAATTCATACTGAACATAACCCTTCCAAAGTCGAAATATTTGCACTGATTCATACTTGCTATTTGAATCCTTCCCAGAAATCCTTCAAGTAATTTTTTGTTAGGTCAGATTTTGGTGTTGGGTTGTTGACTGTAAATAAAGCATTCTACTTCCATTGAAGCTCAATACAAGTAAAAGTTGGTCTCGTAGCCTATATCATATACCTTAAAAATAGCCCATGAAACTTTGTAATTACTGCATAGCATGGTATGTTTTTTGAAATATGGTCCCATTGTGATCAATCCTTTTTGCTCTTTTATTCTTAATAATGCTGTTCTACTTTGTTAAACTACTTTGTTAAAAGAAAAAAAATGAAAATCAAATTGTGCTAGGACAGCATGCGTTAGATCAGATACCACATCTTTAGTGCTAATATCGTTTTTAATTTTTACACAAAATGTTTTGTTGAAGTCGGTGTAATTTTGCTCAGCAACCACAATGTGATGCTTTAAGGCGTGTTATAGAATCACAGCTGCTTTTTAAAACCAATTAACTGTAACAAGGACATAATCTCCTTTTTAATGCAGAAGTTGTCGCTCTAATAAAATAACTGCATGTAAAATTTTCATAATCAAATAATTTTAGCTAAAATATGTTTTAACTCTGTGAAACTAAACAGGAGTTTAATTTTTGATTCAGGGGGATTTCTCTATGGCTTATGCACTTTAAATCTTCTTTATTATAAAAGTGGATATTACAACTGATACTTTTGATGAGTTTTTGCCAGGTGTGAATTTCACCGGCTATCTCCAGCCCAGGGAAACTAGTTGAAGACCATTAACTTCATTTGCAGTGCTGCCTGTTGCTATAAAAAGAGTTACTTTAATGAATGCTGTCTGACCCTCCAAGCGTTCACCTTCCAGTTGGATTCTCGTTCCGTATTGTTTCGGAAATAGCAAGTAACCTGAAAGCGAGGGAAGACCCTCAAAGTAGCACAGAAGCAGCTTGTGCTGCCTACAAAGCATGGTGTGAGCTGCCTGATAGAAGAGTTTCCCCTGGTTGAGAAAGAAGCAGGGAAAGCAATGCTTGGGTTTAAACCTTCTCATTTGTAAAGGTGGAGGTAATATAAATGCTCAGCTGTGTTCAGCGGCTGTAGCTGTGCGTGTTTACTTTGCAATAAGTCTTTCCTTACAAAAAGATCTAAGGAAAAGGGTCTTTTTTGTGGAGCGGTGCTCCATGTGCCCAGGGGAG